TATATTAAGTGTACTTCATTTGATTAATTAAGGTAGCATTTAATTTGAATCATAAAAGTGAAACAGCTTTATGAACCTAAACTTGATTAAAATAGACGCAAATAGAAAGTGTTTATTCTCTTTTTATATTGAACTACACTAAATCTGAACTACACTTTATTTAAACTAAACCTCTGGTCACTAGTTTCTGTGATGGTTCATTTACCTGCTTGTTTTGCTGCTAAAATGAACCTCTCATTCCCAGCTGCTAAGATGATGGTGTTTCTGGACTCTTCCTCTGAAGGAAAGGCTGCGGAGCTGGCTACCTCTTTAAACGAGTCCCTCACAGACAGAAGCCTTCAGGTAAAATAACACTCTAGTGCACAGGTGTCAAACTCCGTTCCAAAAGGGCCGCATCTCTGCACAGTTTAGTTCCAACCCTAATTAAACACACCTGATCAAACTAATTGAGTCCTTCAGGCTTGTTTGAAACCTACAGGTAAGTGTGTTGGAGCAGGGTTGGAACTAAACTGTGCAGGGCTTCGGCCCTTCAGGAATTGAGTTTGACACCCCTGCTCTGGTGGGAAAGACGGCTAGTTAAATATGGATTAATGGCTACCATTGCTTATAGAGTCAATAAAAACAAATCTAACCACTTAAAGGAACAATCCACATTTTTAATTTAATTTTTTTAATAAGCTTATTTTACAACTCCCCAAGAGTTAAAGGTGCTGTAAGTAAGTTTTTGACTCTTCTAAAGTATAAAAGTACCATAATGTGTTTGCAGATATTTAAGAAACGTGCCAAGTGAACATTCTTGTTTATCTGAATAACAATGCTGAAGTCAGATATTCTCCTTGGAAAATGTGAGTAACATGCCGCAACGAGTGTCTTTGGCTGCATTTACACTGCAGATCTTGAATGTCAATTCTGATTTTTTTGACTGTATCCGATTTTTTTAATTTATTTATTTTAATTTTTTTTGATGGCCTACTTACATCATCTTTTTAAAGTGACTCGTATCCGATCGTCTGCATTTACACAGCACACAGCGAAGGTGCAATGTCCAGGAAAAAAACTGCGGGCGCTGACTGACAGCTGATTATTAAGGAGAGCTCTTTTCTCCGTTCCTGTATTTAATCTGTTTGCAGCGTGTCATTGTTGTATTCTTTTTGACTGTAGCTGTTTTACTATAGTTTATGACAGAAAAGTTCTCATTTGGCCATCTTTTTGTAATCTAGGCTTTTTTAAACCAGTAGTCATCTTAATGTCATGTCCATGGCGTGATTTATGCAAGTGATGTATGCACTAGCTTTATATTATATTGGTTAGGTGGTGAATATTGAGCTCTCGCTCGCTTTCTTTCTCCTTAACATGCTTAAATACTTGTGCTACATGACAATGGAAAAGCTTTTTTAGTCCTCGTGTATGAGATTTAAAGTTTACGACTCCAATGAAGTCTGTTCTGAAATGAATGCATCAGACTTGACGTCATTCGCTATGGTTTTTGATGCGCGACTTGCATTGACAGGTGAAAATCTGATCTACCTGCTTGCACTGCCGACACGAGGGCACAGATCCGATTCATATCAGATAAATTTCCACATATGAAGCCGAGTGAAAACGTGTTTAGATCCAGTAGTGCAATACCCAGTTCAACCACTGGGTGTCAAACTTACATACTGCACCTTTAAGCAAAAAAATCTTTATCATTCTGGCATAAACTATCTTTTTAGGAGGTATCTTATCTTGATATTGCTGCTAAAAGTCTTTCCTGAAAATCATAATCGCTAACATTTCCATGTGTGCACCTCAGACGTGTGCAGAGGTGCTCCAGGCACTGAGAGACGGCAGTCTGGGCTCCCAGCAGGAGAAATTCACTGAATCCTACCGCGTGTCCTGCCACGGCCTCTACCCTTACGCCGTGGCCTTCATGCCTCCCGGCTATCAGGACAACACAGCGGTGACCACCAACGGAGACCTTTCCCCCTGCGACCACGAGGACCTGCCCAACGAGATGTGAAGCGCTTTCACACCAGACTCCACTGCACTAAAGACCACCGTTACCTTCCGCCGAGCAATAGGGGAGAGAAAAAACCTTTATTTTCCTGTTCCTTTTCTATCTTTTTTTTTAATATGGCGTCTAGAGCAGAATAAACGGTATTACAGAAATCGATTGATCAGGACAGTCACGCGTGCATCTTGCTTCTCATGTTTTTAAGAGTAATTTATACGAGATAATGATATTAAAGAGAACCGAATATTTCAGGAGGAGCAATACAGGTCGTGTGCCAAACCTGATGACGGCACCAGGGGACGGGGGGGTGTGTTTTTTTGGGAGTGGGGGAGTGAAATGTGGATCAGCCGGCAGTCATTGAGGAGACTTAAGATGTTCGGCTGATAAACTAATAACTGTGTTGATTTAAAGGTCATCTGAGGAGAGGCAGACGTGTGCATCTCTTTATTTTATTTCTTCTCTCATTCATGGTCTGCTGCCTTTCGGTTATTCAGTGAACGTCTCGCAGGCGGCAGTGGCTTCTGTGACCGCTTCATTTTGGGTTTGTTTGGCTTTAGTTATTTTATTTTTTCTCCCACTTATTCTTTTTGGGTTCTCTCAAGCTGGTTTTGTTTATTTTATTTTTTTTTTTTTCCTAAGACTCCATCAAACGTACCACTGTCTGAATTCTGACAACATGTCCCATCGTTTGACACTCACACAGTTACAAATAAAACAAAATAACATGACCGTGATGCTCTTCGCTTTCTGTTTTTAATTTCGCTGTGAGATTTTAGAAAAGTTTTGTCTTTTCTAAAATGAAGAACAGGAGAATTGCTGAAGGGTAACCCAAAAATAAGTGTCATTTCTGGGTGTATAGAGCTGGGGTTTGTAATTAATTTGCAGAGAGAGTATTTATTTTTGCTTCACTCATCTGGGCTTTTTTTATTGGTTTCTTTGCAAATAAAATTGCTTTCAAATATGTGTTACAAGCAGTGCTTCTCAACCTTATATATGTGGTGCCAAATTCACAACCTGATAAAAGTCTTGTCGTCTGTCCAAGTTTGAGGAGCAACAAATAATAACTTGACTTCTAGTTGATCATTTGGTATCAGAAGTGGCTTATATGAAAGGGAAAGGCTTCTAGATTACATGTATTTTTACCAAAATAAAATATGATCATGCCTTGATTTATAATTATTTCATTAGGACAGTAAGGTCTGACTTTGCAGAGACTAAAGTCTTTTCACTTAACAGAAATAATGTCCAGCATAGAATATAAAGTCATGATGCACTGGAGAAAGAATGAATATTGTGTTTGACTCCATCATGAGCATCCATACAGTCATCTACATGACTCAAATCACTTATTAATAAAGTCATCTGGAGGCAAAGAAAGTGTTCATGCAGGACTCCCAGAGTTCATCAAGAGTCTTTGGATTCATCTTCAATGCCTCCTCCTGTCATCTTACCTCAGACATGCTCAAAAAATGTTCATTCTGGTGACTGGGTTGGCCAATCCTCAAGCACCTTGACCTTCTTTGCTTTCAAGAACTGATGTGGAGGCTGAAGTATGAGAAGGAGCGCTATCCTGCTGAAGAATTTGCCTCTCCTGTGGTTTGTAATGTAATGGGCAGCACAAATGTCTTGATACCTCAGACTGTTGATGTTGACATCCACTCTGCAGATCTCTCACACACCCCCATACTGAATACAACCCCAAACCATGATTTTTCCTTCATCAAACTTGACTGATTTCTGTTCGAATCTTGGGTCCAAGTGGGTTCCAGTAGGTCTTCTGCAGTATTTGTGATGATCGGGATGCAGCTCAACAGAAGATTAATAAAAAAAAAAATCAACCTTCAGCCGCTTTCCCAAATGATCAACTAGTTATTATGTTACTCCTACAGCTGGGATTGACGACAGACTTTTGTCAGGTAGTGTATATAGTAACTTTACTGATGGTAATTACAATAACTTTTTTTTTTTACTTCATGAAAGTTCAAGTTGTAATAACCCCCAAGGGTTTTTCTAAGGTGTATTTTCAGCTAGTTTATTATTTACTAGATAATGAATAGTAAAGTATTTAAATTTCTATTTCATAAAACATTTAGAATTACAGAAATATCTACATTTATTATGGATGTATAAACACAGATTAATTATTCGTTACTATTTTAAATCAAATTATTTGTGAGGTGTTATATGGTGAGTTCTTATTTAATGTCATTTTATGTATGGGTGTGTGACGGGGACAAATGTAATCATGTTTTTTTTTTTTTTTAATAGTGATACTGAAATTTTGCTGAATGTTCAATATAATTAATATAAGAAACTAAATTTGCCAGGTAGTAAGAGCCACGATCGCAAGAAGGTCGCTGGTTCGAACCTCGGCTGGGTCAGCGGGCATTTCTGTGTGGAGTTTCCATGTTGCATGTTGGCGTGGGTTTCCTCCGGGTGTTCCAGTTTCCCCCACAAGTCGTGGTGTAAGTGAATTGGATAAGCTAAATTGTCCATAGTGTATGGATGTTTCCCAGTGATGGGTTGCAGCTGGAAGTGCATCTGCTTTGTAAAACATGCTCAATAAAAAAACAGTGCTCCATTTGGGATAACACTACATACATATACTATACTGTTGAGTGTGTAAGTGCATAAGTACATAGTGTATAGTGTGGCATTTGGGATGCAGCTATTGACTCAAATGATTTTTTCAGACACAAATTCATCCAGGAAACACACTGTTGCTCTGAGACGCAAATGATTTATTTAAAACCATTTTCATTAGCAAAAATTGAATATTTCATCCAAAGGTTTACTCTATAAACGTGTAGTTTTGTTTGTTGAACTGTTGTATAAAAATCAGCACTTAATTTGTGATCGCTCTAAGGTACTGATATTTAGGAAGACACCACAACTGAAATATCTCAGTAAACCCTGAATGTTCCTGTAATGTTCCCATTTGGTTCCTATTTTGGGAGCAAAGAAAGAATGTTCTGGCATCGTTCTCTGAGTTTTTTTTTTTTTTTTTTTTTTTGTATTTTTGTGGTTTGTTTTTTGGTAGTCAAAACCGACCATTTCAAAACATTGCAGGCAGTTTTTTTTATATATATATAATTTAATATAAGAAAACCTAAAACAGAACATTCTGGGAAGATTTTTGCTGTGATGGATGTTTTTTGGGTTTCATATTAATCATTAAGTCATTCTAACTGCACTCTCATCAGGCAATGAATGCTTTTGGACTTTTGTTTTAGTATCTCAGATCGCATATTAGGATATTAATGTCAATTAATTATTGCACACCCCTAATTAAAGTCATCTGGCAGCCCCTGGCTGAGAATCACTGCACGATAGCTAAATTAATCTCTTAATTTGCAGACTTCATTATGATGAATAGTTAGTTTGATGTATTTAGAGTTTGTCATGATGAAATACTCCTGTGCGTTTGCTCTGCATGTGATTTATTACTTGTTTAGAGTCTGGCTTTGGGCGGCGCGTCCTCATGTCCGCTCTGAGAGCTCAGGAAAGTGTGGTCCAGGTTGAGGTATGTAGTGAGGAACTCCGGGAAACTGTTTTTCTGTACGATTTCTAGAAACATGGACACTGCAGTCATCAGCCTCTGTTTGTCTCTAAAGAGAGAGGAAATGAGGGAAAAGGTCAGTATTTCTCAATGTGAGCTCTTGGGCAACAGATCAGAGGTTGTGTTACTCTAGAATCACAAGTAAAATTTGGCATTGGTATTATTTGACATTTTATGAGATATTAGACTCCTGATGTACAGAATTTTTAGCAAACTACCAAAATACAGAATAAAATAAACAGTCAAGCCTGAATTTATTCATACTGGCAAATTCTGACAGCTTCTCCCATAAGACAATAAGATGATGTACAAGAGGCATTATTGTGGGAAAAAATATTTCTCAATGTATTATGTATAATTATAATACATTTTAATAGCTTTTTATTCTTTAATTGTTCTTTGCTTTTATTAGTAAGTAAAAGCTTTGTAATTAGTAATTATACAAAACAGTTATTGTATATTTTCCTTTTTTTTTTTTCATCAAAATCAAATCAGGCCTTTATTTGTCACATACACTTTCGTATAGTGAAATTGAACCCCTGCCCCCCGACCATACACAAACATCACAATTTTCATGGGAGACAGGTCATAGGAGGTAGCATTTAGAAAGGGAAGTAAGATACATATTGACAGTTAGGCCAAAAAAACCCTCTCAACTTTCCCCTCGATTAGGGCATAGTAAGAACATGGAGAAAAACAGCCCAATGTTAGCATAAGCACACCGGCAAGACACAACATTGACACGGGATGGGAACAGGGGATATGGAAAACAATCCGATGAGTGCGGGCAGCCATCTGGTCCAGCAGCCATGGAGGCGCAAGTCACAGTCCCGCCCACGCCCCTCGTGGTTGAAAGCATCATTCATTACTAGTTTATATGATCAGTTTTAGGTTTTTTTTTTAATGGTGATTTTTCTTTTTCCATTGAGTTTTAAATTAGCTTTATTTGTAATAGTTTCCATTTTCAAAGTCAACCGATCACATGGCAGCAACTCAATGCATTTAGGCATGTAGACATGGTCAAGACGATCTGCTGCAGTTCAAGCTGAGCATCAGAATGGGGAAGAAAGGGGATTTAAGTGACTTTGAATGTGGCATGGTTGTTGGTTCCAGACGGTCTGGTCTGAGTATTTTAGAAACTGCTGATCTACTGAATTTTCACGCACAACCATCTTTGGGATTCACAGAGAATGCTCTGAAAAAGAGAAGATATACAGTGCGCTGCAGTTCTGTGGGCACAAATGGCTTGTTGAGGTCAGAGGAGAATGGCCAGACTGGTTCCAGCTGATAGAAAGGCAACAGCAACTCAAATAAGCACTCGCTACAACTGAGGTCTGCAGAGGAGCATCTCTGAACACACAACATATCAAACCTTGAGGCGGAGGGGCTGCTAAAGCAGAAGACCACACCGAGTGCCACTCCTGTCAGCTAAGAACAGGAAACTGAGGCTACAATTCACACAGGCTCAGCAAAATTGGACAATAAAAGATTTGAAAAAAGTTGCCTGGTCTGATGAGTCTCGATTTCTGCTGCAACATTCGGATGGTCGGATCGGAATTTCGCTTCAACAAGATGAAAGCATGGATCCATCCTGCTTTGTATCAAAGGTTCAGGCTGGTGATGGTGGTGTAATGTTGTGGAGGATATTTTCTTGGCACACTTTGGGTCCATTTGTACCAACTGAGCATCGTGTGAACGCCTCAGCCTACCTGAGTATTGTTGCTGACCATGTATATCCGTTTATGACCACAGTGTACTCATCTTCTAATTGGCCACTTCCAGCAGGATAACGCGCCATGTCATAAAGCATGAATCATCTCAGACTGGTTTCTTGAACATGACAATGAGTTCACTGTACTTAAATGGCCTCCGCAGTCACCAGAACTCAATCCAATAGAGTACCATTGGGATGTGGTGGACTGGAAGATTCACAAGGATGTGCAGACGACAAATCTGCAGCAACTGCGTGATGCTATCACGTCAATAAGGAGCAAAATCTCTGAGGAATATTTCCAGTAGCTTATTGAATCTATGCCATGAAGGATTAATGCAGTTCTAAAGGCAAATGGTGGTCCAACCCGGTACCAGTAAGGTGTACCTAAAAAAGTGGCTGTTAAGTGTATATACACTTTCATTACAGGTAGTTTTAGTAATTTATGGCTATTTTAATTAGCTGCTAAAACAGCATTTCTTAATTTTCATTAAATGTAACGTTTTTCTTCAATATTTGTATTTTATTTAAGTTTATTCAATTACTAAAAATCTATAATAATATTCACTTACTGAGTTATATAATTGTATACAAATTATAAATACAGTATATAATTTATTTTTGTATATAATGTATACAATTTTCCAGGAAAAGTTTATCAAAATGTTTATACAATACTTTAATTAGTAGTATTTAATATTGAACTGTCTATTTTCTAACTGATATAGTTTACAATAAAATAATTTAACCCTGATAACATGACTAACTCACCTTCCCACTTTATTTTCCAATACATATTTCTGCATAAGACAACAGATATATTCCTCCATCTGATATATGTGTAGCATCTGTACAGTTCTCTCACCTGTTTGTTTGGCAGCGCATGGCAGTCTTCAGTTCCCCTATCAGATCTTCAGCCAATCTGCTGACCAGAGCTCGGGTCACTACAGTCCCATCATCCTCCAGGCGCACCTGATGCCGGATCCACTGCCAAACCTGAGCAATACAAGTGCTTCAAGTAAGAGCTGCTGTGTTTTACTCCATCACATACAGCTGAGGTCAAAACAATTTGCCCTCCAGTGAAATTTGTATTCGTTTTCAAATAATCTCCAAAGTGATATTTAACAGGCACCGTGGCTCAGTGGTTAGCAACGTCGCATCACAGCAAGAAGGTTGCTGGTTTGAGTCCTGACTGGGCCTGTTGGCGTTTCTGTGTGGAGTGTTGGTGTGGGTTTTCTTCCAGGTGCTCTGGTTTCCCCCACAGTCCGACGACATGCGTTGTAGGTGAATTGGATTAACTTAATTGCCCGTAGTGTATGAGTGTGTGTGTGTGTATGTGAGAGTGTATGGGTGTTTCCCAGTACTGGGTTGCAGCTAGAATAGCACCTGCGGCATAAAACATATGCTGAAATAGTTGGTGGTTCATTCCGCTGTGGTGACCCCTGAAAAATAAGGGACTAAGCCAAAGGATAATGAATGAATGAAAGTTTGTTGGATATTATAATGTTCCCATTTTCAAAGAGAGCTAGTACTGGATCTGGCTCCAAAGCTCTCTTGATAATATCTGATATTGACTGGAAAATTGTAGACCAATAAGAAATTATTTTGGGACATTTACACCTGCGAAACATTTTAAAAGAATTACATTTTCTAATCATTTTCACTTTATCTGAACTGTTAATAACTGACCTGAGATCTGGATATCTCTGCTGTTGCTGAATCCTCAACCTTCCCCAGATAGAAGAAATGACCTCTACCTGCAGAAATAATAGCCATTAATACTCTAAATATCCGAGTACTGAGCTTAGAAGTGTTAATCCACTGGTGAAAACATGACTTAGTACCTGAAAGCCAGGCTTCAATGAAGAGAACTCCTACAGCAATGTTATATCTGAGTCCATACAGTGTCACTCCTCCCTATAAAGAGACAACAAAAATGTACGAGAGTAAAACTTTGGATAACACTTTTACTCTTGATTTTTTTTATTATTATGATTATTATTTATTCAATTATGTTTTTTTCCATTATCGGTGCAGTGCTGCCAACTATTTCTAATAAAAAGTAGCTAAAGCCTGCCCAAAAAGTAGCTAAATGTTGCCAGATGACGTCATGCACTATTTTGCATATCAGTGACGTCATCACGTCGTATTTGACAAGCGTAAGCTCATCATGTCTCTACTCTCAGAGACACCGTTTATTATATTATATTCAAACATTACATCCAGATGCACATTAAATAGGTTCTAATTAACATATTACTTTGCGTGATGACGTCATTGCGTAATCGCAACTCAAAACTACATCTTTATGAAGAATACAAAACAATTAATGTTTTCTCAAGCCGAGTGGCCATTTCAGCAAAAAACATTATTTGGAATATGTCCATTTAGATCTGTATGAAATATATAGTTGACTGTAAAATACAAACAGTTTTTGATGAGAACAGTTACATTCTTTTAAACAACAACAGCTTGTGTACTTGCTCTTTTATTAACTTTTAAAATTAACACATATGTAAAAAGTGACAACAATTATAGCACTATTGGAATTTATTGCTACCTAAATTACCATACATGTTAACAAATATCAGTAAATTAACAGTAATGAAAAACAATCTGAGCTAGGGATTTGACTTGAATGTGATATGTGTGTGTTGAGTGAAGCCTGCAGCCACTGCTCTTTTGAGTCACTTTTTTTAATTGCTAAAAGTAGCCAACTGAATGTTAAAAATTGCTAAATTTGTTGCTAGGTGCTTTAAAATAAAAAAAATTAAAAAGTTGCTAAGTCTAGCAACAAAATTGGTAAGTTGGCAACATTGCATCAGTGTTATGTTATGGCATGCATGACTCCAGACTATGTAATTATTGTATCTGATCCTAATTATTTAGTTAATCTGCCTCGGGATGTTAACGTCTTGGGGGCGGGTTAAATCTAAAATAGAAAGAAGGTAATCATTTTTACTGTTGTATGTAAAGTAAAAATAAAATAAAATAAACACTTGTGCTCAGTGGCCTATTAGAATTTTATGTAGCATGTTTTCATGTCTTATCCATGAAACACTTTGTTCAGTCATGTGGCTTTTTTAAATGTGCTGCATAAATGAAGTAAAGTTGAATCTTCAGATGATTCTGTCTGACCGCAGGCATGATGAGCAGGTCATTAGGGGTCACAGTGATGTCTTCACGCAGCTGCATCAGCTGATTCTGGCCACCGGTGTGAAGCTGGAACAGCTGTGGGAGAGAAAGTTATCTTTACAGTCATGTGAAAGTGTTTGGACACCCTGTTAATCGCCAATTTGCCATATCAGGACATGAGAATCTGATCTTTGCCAGGTCTTAAAATTAAAATCTCAGATCGATCAACAACTTATAGCATTAACAAAAGTAAGTCTTTATAAGTCTGTCTATATATATATATATATATATATATATATATATATATATATATATATATATATATATATATATATATGTGTGTGTGTGTGTGTGTGTGTGTGTGTGTGTGTGTGTTTGTGTGTGTGTATATATATATATATTTATATATGTGCTGATAAGCTGATAATCAAATGCCTGAACCGATGACACTTACTTTTTGCATGGGCTCAATCAGGTCCATGTCATACACCATGAAGCCATCAACTCCTGCTTTGATTTCCAGTAACTTGAGTCTAAAGCAAGACAAGATTCATTATTTGGATGGAGAATTTTTTTTTCTTTTTTTTTTTTACTTTTGTTTTTATACATAATTCTTTACCTAAAAAGCTGTGAGTGCCAGGCAAACTTTTGTGGTTAATTAGTACATTTATTATTATTATTTTATTATTTAATTAGCCCTTTGAATTTGCACTGAAATGGCATTTAAAAGTTCAAACCACTGAATATCAGAAGTCCACTGAGAAAAACCTGCATGATTTGCTAAAAAAATACTTTTCCCTGACTGAAGAAAGAAAGGATGGAAGGAAAGAAAGAAAGGAAAAGAGGAAGGAGGAAAGGATGGAATATAAGAAAGGAAGAAATGATTGAAGGAAGAAAAGATGGAGGAAAGAAAGGATGGAAGGAAGGATAAATAGAAAGAAAGGAAGAAAAAAAAAGAGGATGAAGGGAAAAAAGAAAGAACAAATGAAGGAAAAAAGGATAGTAGAAACAAAATAATGAAAGAAGGAAGAAAAAGAAAGGATGGAAGAAAGAAAGTAAGAAAGAACGAAAGAAAACAAATGAAGGAAAGAAGGATGGAGGGAAGAAAGAACAGATGAAGCAAGAAAGAATAGATAGAAAGAAACGAAGAAAGAGGAATGAAGAAAAAGGATGGAGGAAAGAAAGAACAAATGAAGGAAAAAAGGATAGCAGAAAGAAAAATGAAGAAAGAAAGAAAGCAAAGAAGGAATGAAAAAGAAAAAAGGATGGAAAGTAGAAAGGAATGAAGAACGAAAGAATGGAGGGAAGAAAGAAAGGATCAAAGGAAAGAAGGAAACAATTAAGAAAGAAAGGATGGTAGAAAGTGAATGATTGAAGGAAAAAGGATGGAGGAAAGAAAGAAAGGAATGAAGGAAGAAAGGATAGAAGAAAGGATCGATTGAAGGAAAGAAAGATAGAAAGAAAGAAAAGGAAAGAGATCGAATGAAGGATGGCTGGATGAAAGGAAGCAAGGGTGGAAGAAAGGAAATAAAAAGGAATTAAGAAAGAAAGAACGAATGAAGGAAGGAAGAAAAGAAGAAAAAAATTAATTACAAAAAAAAGAAAAACGCAAATTATCAGAAGATTTGACTCTGAAAATGAAAGAATCTTCCAGATTTCCACATTTAATGTAATCATGTTAACTCTATTGCATCCGTTCTTCCATTATTAGAGGCCGAGTCTCATCCGGCTGTTATTAGTACTGTTTGCATCTTGCCTGGTAACAGTGTTAAGAACAGTCTTGTAGAGGTCACTCTCTTTGTCTCTAGGCAACAGCAATGCCGCCATGCCACCTGTTGCAAGGGCCCCCCTGCGGTGACACGTCTGCACTAGAAGATCCATGTAGCTGTGCAGAAAACGCTTCTCCATGTCCACATACTTACTGCGGTCCGGCAGGAGGAAATCAGCCCGATCACCTGGACAACAAACATCAGTCCCATCAGTGCTGGGCGTAATTACTTATAAAGTATCTAGTTACTGTAATTAAATTTCTATTCCATTGAAAAAGTAAAGTAAGGGAGTACTTTTTAAAAATTTTAGGTCATTTAATTAGTTACTTAAAATGTACTGGTCTTAAACACTGTAAATTAATTCAGTAGTTCTGTATAAATCAGCTCAGAGAAGTGTGTGTATATATATATATATATATATATATATATATATATATATATATATATATATATATATATATTTTTTTTTTTTTTTTTTTTTTTTTTTCTAAATAAAGGGTGCTTCAGAAATCATGGAATGAGTGAGAAATACGTCTATATACGGCATATATAAAACATGGTGTGAATATTTGTTTTGTATATATAGTGTTAAACATTTTAAGTGTTTTTTTTTAAATAAATAAAACTAGGAGGAGGGTTGGCACGGTGGCTCAGGGGTTAGCAATGTCACCTCACAGCAAGAAGGTCTCTAGTTCGCCAGTTGGCATTTCTGTGTGGAGTTTGCATGTTCTCCCCGTGTTGGTGTGGGTTTTTCACGGGTGCTCCGGTCTTCCTCACAGTCCAAACACATACGCTATAGGTGAACTGAAAAAACTAAACTGGCCATAGCATAAGAGTGTGAATACGAGAGTGTATGAGTGTTTCCCAGTACTGTGTTGCGGCTGGAATGGCATCTACTGCGTAAAACGTATGCCGGAACAGTTGCCGGTTTATTCCGCTGTGGCGACCCCTGATAAGGGACTAAGCCGAAGAAAAATGAATGGATGAAAACTAGGAGGTCAAATTGACCGATATTTAAAGTGTTTAAGACCCTGTCCATATAAACACAGGTATATTCAGAACTGCACTTTTTTTTCAACATGGTTTCACTGTTTGTCCACAGGAAAACAAAGTATTGGGTGGCTGAAACCGAAACTTTCTGAGAACTCTGGCCAGAATGAGGATTTTACGAAACTCTGGGAACAATGTTATGAAAGGCCATTGGGGACAAAACATCGAAGACTAAAGGCTTGTGCACACCGAGACGTTTTTTGCTTGCGTTTTCCGTCAACGTTTAACGCCTCATGACTATATAAAGTGCGTCAATGTGATTGTGTACACCGACACGCAAAACGCCAGGAGCAAAAGCATCATTTAAAAAAAAAAAAAAAACGCCTCATGCTCGATTTTTTTGTTTTGACTTGATGCAGTAAAACCTTCTCCACCAATCAGATCGGCACTTTTACTCGCGTGCACAGAGCTGCTGAAGTTACTGTAAACAGCACTTGGAGGCGCTCAAGCGCAAAACTGTCGATGCGAGCGCACATCGAAGAAGATGCCCAGAGGAGATATGAACTGGAGCTGTTTGTGGCTCTGTGAACAATAATCATTTCTTCATCACTAGAGCTGGAGCTGCTACTTGAACCATCCATGCTTGTTCGAGTCACCAGTCTCTTTAACAACAAGTGTGTGAACTTCCTCTCTTCCTCTTCTTCTGTGTTATAAGCGGGTGTCCGAAGCTTAAAGTTGTGTAGCGACATCTAACGTCAAGGAGTGATTTTGCATACTCTTCTGCTTGGCGCCAGTGATTATCGCTTGGGTTTGAATGCGGAAAACTTCTCGTAAAACGCTGACGATAAACGCAAACGAAAAGCATCCCGGTGTGTAGGAGCCTTCACACATTTAAAAATTGTTATGCTTTAACACATAAAATTGCATACTAATGTGTTAACTAGTTATTTATATGTTAATGCATAATTTACATGGTAACTTGTAACAATAGTTCCAAACATTTTGTCCACAATGACCTTCCATACAAAATGTGGTCATGTGGACACCACAATCGGAGTTTTCACCTCGTGACAGAGTGTGCACTGTTTTCTGATTTGCCAACATGACTGCATTCACACCAAAAGTGCAAAGATGTGAATGCAGGAAAGTTCTGCATGTGCATATTGCATGTTTACACTGCGGGTCAGTTATCCACCTGTTTCTTATGTTTCCATTGACTTTACTCCCGAAATATACTTAATTCCGCATTTGTTGTGAACTTAGCATAAAAGTGTCATCATCTCCGCCTGTTGGTTCAGCGTACCCTTAACATGAAAAGTGGGGAAAACAAAGTCATTCAGACAAACTAATTAATAAAATATATAAAAAAAAATTTTATGTTGTAATTGATCAAAAAAAAATTGCTCATTATGTATTGGTCTGCTTGTGATCCAGCATGAATTGGTCTAAAGACGAATCGACCTAGTCAAAGCGTTTAACAAAACTGACCGAATTTGTTGACGAAGGAGGCCGAGTAATCCCAGATGCCACAGTTTAGACCCGCCGAGTGCTCCTTGAGCTCATACAAAATCTCCTCCATCTCGAAGGACGCCAGCACACACTCGATCAGCACGGTGGCCTTTATACAGCCCGCTGGCAGACCAAGCTGCAAAACCACAGAATCCACATCAAAAATCTGTTTAAAGAGCATTTAATCTCAGTCAACGCTCATCACCTTCTTCTCAGTCCAGAAAAAAACCTGACTCCACAGTCTGGCCTCCATGTAGCTCTCAACCTGCAAAACACAACAACACATTCTTCAAAAAACAGGTCGGATAATATGTGACCCGGGTCACAATAC